TCGACTGTCAAGATTAAGTTACAATTATATATACAACGCATAGTAATTGAAATAAAAGCGCGCCAAAAAGATTTTATTATATAAATCAAAACTGAACAAGTTTGAAAAGTAAAAGTCAACAAATAAATAAATATGTTGGGACATTAAGACACAGCGCCATCTAGTTCCATGGTAAGCTATGAGGTTTGTGTTATGGATACCAGATAGTTGATACATTACACATATATAACATTAAATACATACATATTATAAATATATTATACTAAATATATAATAAATCAATCCAATCCATAAAAAGCTTCATTTTAAATACAAAACAAACGATACTTTTAACATAGGATAGTAGTAGGATCTGGAAGAATAGAATAGACTACATTCTACATATAAAAAATAGTTACTTTAAAACATTTTTTTTTAAATACTTTAAAACTTAAAAAGTTTTTAATTGTCCATTTTTAGTGTAGACGTAATAAGCAGGTAATTTGTTAGAAGAAAGTTTTTTAATAACATGTTCGATTAAACAATTTATTTAAAAAAATAATTTACTTGTTGATTTAAAAAAAAACCGCTTGACCGATTGCGATAAAATTTATATGGGACTACCTAGGAAGCATACCCTTTGAAACAAAAAAAAAATTCAAATCGGTTCAGGCATCTTCCTGTAATCGTTGAACATACATAAAAAAGATTCCGACGAATTGAGAACCTCCTCCTTTTTGGAAGTCGGTTAAAAAATAATCTTAAAATATAACAAAATTTTCTTAGTAGTTTAATTATTATAAGAGCATATGCATCGATACATTATATTTAAAGCTTTATGTTGTTCATAACTCCGCCCTTAGAATTATAAATGGAACTTAAATAAATGTTTGGCACAAAGAAATAGATCAAGTCGGTCAATGCTAGAGCACGCAACATTCAACTTCCTCTCATTCGTAGAAATATAACTAAAAAAAAAACAAATTTAATTGACGATGGAAGACTTATTCCACGTTACATTGACTTTGTAGTATCATAAATGTTATTTACTAAATATTTTAATTTAATCGATTCTTATAAATATATTTTCTTTACTTATAACTTATTTTGTTTATCTAATAAATCTATACATATAATAAAATTCAAACTGAACCGAATCTGTACATTAAATATTTTTTGGAGAACCTTATTGAAATAGTCATTATTATCGATGCAAAGGCCGAATCTATAGTTTTTAGAATTTTTGTCTGTCTGTCTGTGAACGCATCACGAAAAAACCACTGGACAAATTTTGATGAAATTTGGTATGATAATAGCTGGTTATCCGGGTCAACGTATAGGTTACTGCGGGAAAATATCTCATCTCTGAGAAATCTATTATTATGTAACTTTAAAACGTAAGTAGGGATGAACCCGAGCGGATCGAGAGTGAGTCGCTAGTTTACTAATATATTTTAACATAAGGCTTATCTTTTGTTGCCGTCAATTAGTCGTTGACAAATATTCAAGAATTAAACTTAGAACAATGTAACATTTACTTGAAAGAAAGCTTTTTTCTTCAAATTTAGGCCCATAGTATATCTATACTAATATTATAAAGAGGTAAAGTTTGTGATCTTGTGAGTTTGTGAGTTTGTGAGTTTGTGACGTTGTAGGGGGTAATCTCTGGATCTACTGAACCGATTTTCAAAATTCTTTTACCAATAGAAAGCCACGTTCTTTCTGAGTGTCATAGGCTATATATTAACCAGAAAAATGAAAAGGCTTTTTCGTGGTAGTCGGATTTGCAAAGTAAGTCGGAGAAAAAACGGTCGAACGAAAACGTTTCTTACGAACGCTGCCTTAACCATGAGAGATATATGATTATGTTCTAGAGAAAAGTTGTAGAGCTTAATAATGCCTACAAAAAAGTCAGCGACAGCATATGTCTAACTTTTATATTTAAGTCACAAAAAGAAGTTTTTTATATTAAAAAAATAATTTAAATCGGTAGGTCATGTTTATTGGTCATATTATCAACAATTATGAATTCTTATCAAAATAAGTAAATTTATCGTCTAAAATGTTTTAAACAAAAGACTTTTCCCTTTTACTGCATATAATTTGGACAAATGGTTAAAGAGATAATACAACATATTCGTAGGTATAGACGAACCCGAGCGAGCTGTTTGCCTGTTTTTCTGTTTGTACGGGCTAATCTCCGAATCTATTGGACCGATTTAAATGAAATTTTGCATGGTGGTGGTACCTTATATCCCCGGGAAACATCTTAGATACTTTTCATCACGGAAAATTAAAGAGTTCCCGTGGGATAGTTAAAAAATTATAGCAACTTATACAGCTTAGTACACAAAAACTACTAATTGGATTTTAATGAAACTTTACAATAACATAGCTCATACATAACAAAAACAAATCAGCTACTTATCATCCCGGAAAATTAAAGAGTTTCCGTGGGATAGTCAAAAAACTATAGTAACTTATACAGCTTAGTACACAAAAACTACTGATTGGATTTTGATGAAACTTTACAATAATATGTATGTATAGTTCATACATAAGAATAACAAATAGGTTACTTTTTATCCCGGAAAAATGTACTGTTCCCGTGGGATAGATGTTATTGTTTATTTGTAACGTTTATTCACAACATAGACCCCAAAACAATAGTTATTAAAAAAAATGTCTGTTTGCCTGTATGTCTGTTTTTGCGTGAGCGTTTCACGCGAAAAGTAATGTACCAATTTCAGCGAAATTTGGTGAAGTGATAACTTATTACTCGAGTCAACATTAAGGATACCTTTTGTATGTATGTATGTATTTATATATGTATGTATTCAGCCCTTTTTAACGTCCCACTGCTTGGCACGGGCTCCCTTCAATACGAGGGGGATCAGGCCATAGTCCACCACGCTGGCTAAGTGCGGGTTGGCGGACTTCACATGTCTTTTGAAAACTTGCTAGGTTCTCTCAGACATGCAGGTTTCCTCACAATGTTTTACTTCATCGTTAAGACAAGTGGTAATTGTGTTAGAAATGATTCGCACATGAAAATATCGGAGGTGCGAGACCCGGGATTTGAACTTGCTTCACTCGGTTTCCCAAGCGAGCGCGTTACCACTGGCATACCACTGCCTAGATACCTTTTACTTCAAGAAAATCTTTCTTTCCCACGGGAAAATACAATAACTGGTTCTATCGAATCGTCCTTAGAAATTTATATGGTTAACGTTGGCTCAACCTTAAGAGATAGATCAAAACATTGTGCAAGAAAATTGTCTTAAAAAGGTTTAAGACAATTTTCAATCAAAAATTCAATTTTTTAGAAAAAAGTCTTAAAAAGGTTTATTGAAAAGTTCTACATAATATATGTCTATCTCCTAAGGTACACTCGCTATAACAATTTTCATTATTATATATTACTGTTTTATTTTACGTTATTTATTCTATCTATACATATAATAAAACTGTAGAGGTTAGAAAAAAAATGCTAAAAACCGAGTCAGTTCTCTTCTTACACCCCGAAAGAAGAGAAATAGAACAAATCCAGTTTTTTTTCAGTTTTTTTGTTTCTCTGTCTGTTTGTCTGTTTGTACGGGCTAATCTCCAAAACTATTGAAACGATTTAAATGAAATTTTGCATTATAGTACCTTATATCTAAGATACTTTTCATTCCAGAAAATTTAAGAGTTTCCGTGGGATAGTTAAAAAAACTATAGTAACTTAAACAGCTTAGTACACAACAACTTATCCTCCTAATTTAGTAAAATTTGGCATGCTGATACCTTATATTGCCGATCAAACAACAGGTTACTTTTCATCCGGAAAATTCATCATTCCGGAAAAATGAACGGTTCCCGTGGAATAGATTTGTTTGTGCTTTTCTAGAGGTGAACCCGAGCGAAGCGAGGGTGAGCCGCTAGTAGAATCATAAAGCTAGTTCACAATTTGTAAATATCGCGTGAAATAAACAAATAATAACCGTATTGAAATCTTTTAAACCTTATTAAAATTATTACTTAAGTATAGCCATTACTTTATAGTATATTATTAATTATTATTATAAATCTAAATCCATTAAATTATTAGATTCGTGATAAATAACAAGAGCTCAAGCCATTTGAATTATCATAAATTGTTTAGGGCATCTAGCCAACATAATGCGAGTATCTTTAAGCGGCACTTCGACGTTATTGTTATCGACTCTCGTGTTTGGGATCAAACAGATCGTACTACGAGTATGCTTAACAGAAGTCAGAACATTGTAGTATCTCGATAGCATTCTGAAAATACAATTACTTCGTTGAATTCTTTTAAATCTTTATTGTGATCTAACTACTGTTAAACGTTTGCTGAATATATACATATACATATGTATATGCATATATGTATTAAACAATAAAAGCAATGTGTACATGCAAATAATATTTTCCTTCTGCTTATTAAAATAATAGCTAAGCATTAAAAGCAAGTAGAATTCATTTTATAGTAGAAAAAACTAAGCAGTGTAGGTACGAGTATGTACCTAATTGTGTAAGTATATTTTTAACTGTTATTTTTTTAACTGTTGCTGTGTCCGAACTTTTCCTCAAAATGAGGGAGCTCTATTGATAGTCACTATACTGGTCAAGTACGAGACCGCCACGGACTTCACATGGTATTTTGTAAACTAGATAGGTTTTCTCAGACATACAGATAAAAAGCTGCTTCACTTAGTTTTTCAAGCGAGTGCGTATGTATACTAAAATTATAAAGAAGCAGAGTTTGTTTGTTTGTTTATTTGTTTGGACGCGCTAATCTCAGGAACTACTAATCCGATTTGATAAATTCTTTTTGCATTTGATAGCCTATTTATTGAGGAAGGATATAAGCTATATATCATCTCAAAAAATGTACGGTTCCCGTGGGATTGGTTTGTTTTGTCTAGGGACGAACCCAAAGCGAAGCGAGGCTGAGTCGCTAGTCTATGTAATATGAAGCGAAGCGAGGCACATGCATTGTACATGTATTAAGGAATTACCTTTCTTTAGATGCAATTTTCTTCTTTTTGGGATGATTTTTCTTCGGTCGTACAGCAAGTTTATGCTTAGCGGCGGACGTGTCGAGGAGTTCGGCTTCCACGTTCAGGCTGGAGTCGGGGTCGGGGTTCCTGGGAGAGTGGGACATGTTACTATACGGATGAGGGGTTTCATATATATGTGTTTAAATATAAGGTTTTAAATTATGGTCGGGGGCTACATACTTGTGATCAAACAAAGTGTCAAACTAAATGTAAAAAATTTTTTTATGTTATTACAAAGTATTGAACTTAGGTAATTTGAATAATATGCAAAAATAGATACTTATTCGTATAAAAATTCAGTATACGGAAAAAAGTACTCAGAAGAAGATAACGCTTTATTTTTATCTTTTGTTCTTGATGCCAATGGCTTGGTCTCAAAATTCTGCATAAGACGATCACTGTGTTGGTGACATAGCAGCTTCTAAACTATCAAAGATGGACCAATTTTGATGCATATGTATTTATTTTAAAAATTATTAAATCAATAATATTCTGAACTTAAATTGATGTTAATACGTCCAGTTGTTCAAGTTGTTTTTAAGTGTAATGGAATATTTTGCCTCTGGCTTAGTTCATTTTAAGTTTAACTAATCTTCGGCGTTCGCCCAGTGGTCGAAATTGGACTAGAATAGAATAGATTTTTATTATCTACGTAAAAAAACTATTGCCAATTTTTATTACTGATAACATTAAAGTCTTCTACAGATCTTAACAAAAAAGAGTAAATAAATTGACAAGCAGAGATAAAAATGATACTGAACTGTTTTATGATATATATGTGTATGTGTATATACTCGTAAATAGGCATATATATAATATGTACATATGTAATTTAAAATTTTGTATGTTCTGTGTTTGCTGCAACAATATAGTAACTAGGACTTGCTGCTACTGGGTTGGCATGCACACTATAGAGCTCCTTCATATTTAAGTTAGATAGTATGTAAGAACAATATGGATGCCTATTTAACAGATTTGATTGGCGATTATGGTTCAAGTCTAATAGGTCAAAATCAAATCCCTTAACACATTTTAAGAATAAAAATTTTAATCTATTTTTTTTACTTTGAAGGTTTTCACTTTTAATTGTTTTATGTTTTAATTAATAATTTAAAAAAAATAAAGTAATATTATATAACTAACGACTTAACCTCGCTTCGCTCGGGTCCGTCCCTAGGTATTACATTGGATATAGTATGTTATCCTTAAGAGATAGACATAAGCCATCGCGGACTTTTCTGTAGACCTATATAAGATACACAATTCCACCATACAGTATTTTGTTTGTTTTTATAATATGTAGTAATGAGTAAGTTTATTTTATAACAGACTTGATTGAACAGATTTGATTGAAAATCGAAACGGAGATAGATTCATTATTAACACATGAACTACTTTTTATTATTGTACCACCATGCGATGGGAGCCCCATCGTATGGTGGCACGTGGCAGGCATAAATTAGTATGTAATAAAACTAATCTTAATTATTATAATAACAGCTAGAATTAAATAAATAATATTCCATATTCAATAATAAAAGTAATTAAAATTATAAAAATGTTTAAAATTCAAAATTTTTCGTAAGGTACTTTGATGCCATTTTTCAACTTTTTGAATGCATTTGTTATTTGTGGGTAGGCTGTCTGTAACAACTATATAATACCTTTGATACATCTAACATGATTGCTGTAAAGCACTCGAAACGTCGGGAACCAAAAATCCAAATAAATCCGCGAAAACAACCGAAAAGATAGTTTTATTTAAAATATCTAACTATGTAGATCGTACAACATAGATAATGTTTTGATAGGTCTCTTATGATTATTGATTTGATATTTAAAGATCTTCTTAAAATCTATACACTTATCGAGATTTGGAACAGCTATAATTTGAAGTAAGTAAAAATAGATGAATGGAAGTGAGTTTCCTGCGTGTGATATATGTCGGGGCATCAATCAGTGACAGTGGAAGACGGAAGTGACGCCTCAATGTCAGGGTCCGCTTCAGATTTCAGCTCGAATACACTCGAACTTGTGACATTAAGTGTTATTAGTTATTTTAATACTAGCAGACGTTGCTCTGTCCAAATTTCATAAATGTTTGCGATTTTCAAGTACATACAAAATTTGTATAGAACAACACACTTTTTCTGAAAATCCCAATTTTCCGGGAAACTTTTTCAAAATTGTTTCCCTAAAAACTTTATTCGAACTACTGTGAATATTCTAAAATATAAATTAGTCAGTAGTCTTTTCTCTAGTGATGTTCTTACCAACATTAAATATAAAAAATGTCTTAATAAGTTTTACGGATGTGTGTAGATTATTAGCTCCTCATGTTTTGAAAGCTTTACATCAAACGTGATTACGGGAGAGACTAAGTTTAATTTAAAAAAAAAAAAATTAATTTATTTTTAAATTGTGTGGGTTTGTTCCATTTCTATCTCTCTCCATGAACTTCTTGTCTTTCAAATTAATGTATAATTTTGTGTAGGTGCAGTCTGTAATGACTAGTCATAACTTTTGAGGCGTTAGTTTAATTTAAAATATCAAATGTTCGCTTAAATCTGAGAAAATATTATTAGTCATACCTACTATTTGCACTATATAATTTTCTCTAATCTGCCAAAATTATTATATATAGGTAACTATCTTTAAAAGTATATACTTTTTAAATACATAATTCTACATGTTCCATATATAATTCGTGTTTTTCTCTGTACTTCACACAATTTATATTTAAGTCTTAAAACATCTAACAATACTGAAATATAGATAAATATGTACCTAATACTGAGATTTTCGTCATAATATTGATTGTTACGCTAAATAATAGTAACAGCTTGTTTCAGATGTAATTTAGTTCAATTTACGAATTTTACCAGTTTTTTTAATATCTTAATTTTATTATATATCCATAACTATAACTTTAATTGTATTATATTATACTATCCAATGAATGTTCATGTTACGAGTAAGTTGGACTGCTAAAAGAATTTATGATTCCATTCTTGCCGAAATTAAAATCCGAGTGACGTACAATAATCTGTCAGAACAAGATCCTAAGTTTTTTTGGACATATAATGCAGGCGCCCAAGCATAGCCTCAGAAACTCATAATCTTAAGGCCAAATTGACAGAAAACACACCAAGGGAACCACTCCAGGACCTATGATTTCTATTGCAATTAAGAAGACATCCATGACGCAGTCTCCGCATCGCTAAATAGACCATCGTGATCCTCATTAGTGAGGTGGCTTAGGGATATCTTTCAAATGGTAACCATGTTTTATTTAACCTAAATATTTGTTGCATTTATAAATGTTATATAACGTATATATATATATATAGAAAAGTACCAATATTTCTTAAGGCTTAAGTAAAACCAAGCAAGTATAATTCATTGGCATTGTTTTAGAACTGGCTGAATAAGGTCAAACAACACTTCCTCAATATCTTGGCAGCACTTGCGATTTCAACCGCGACACTTACTGGAGTGACAGTGATATGACATGACTTCTGACAAAAATTGCATTGTCAATATCTCTACCTACTTCCTGTACGCTTCAAGGTTTGTCTATGATTTATATATTTTTTATTTTAGATATATTTTGTTTTAGATTTAACATTTCATTTGAAAACCATATTTCAAACAGAAAAGGAACATTCATATTAATGAATTTACAATAAAATATTCATATTAAAACGTAATTATACGTGAGCTATTTCTTTCAATTTAGACTCCTCCTGAGATTTGGTTGTTAAAGGAATACATTTATTTTCATTTAGTATAAAAATAATACAAAGTTCAGTTACTTTTTCAGCGGGCAAAATAGGACACTATAAATGAAAGAAACATTTAATATTTTTTTTCTTTGATTATCTGTGTAATGTGGATATTCTTTTAAAGCTGACGTGAAATTTTAAATTTTCCCTCCTTAGTTCAACTGAGATTTGACGACATTTTACTGCATTTTACAGGGGGAAAGGCCTGCTTTTTGAGCTCGCGTAATTAATGGATGTCCCCAAAGATGGTAGGCATCGAAAATACTTATAATTAATAATAAAACTGCCAGAAAATAAGCTCGTACTAAAATGTGGTAATAAAATGATTTCACCCCTAACAAAGTTGCTAACTAATAAGTACGACCGAGCATCAACTTTACAGCCAAGTTTCATCAGTAGGTACGCTATTTCAGGCCGCCCTATAAACGAAGTGAGTGACGTCAGACGCGGCACAGTTCTCTCTCGCTCCAGCACCCCGACCCGCTCGTTAACGATATGTCATGTGTACATCGATTTCTACACATATCAAAACACACGTGAACCAAATGTGAAAAAACATTATTTAGGTTAATATAAAAATATTTTTAGACGTTCCAATTATACTAATTGACAACGTATTGTAATTTATAATTTTAAAATATTACATGAAAAAAAATACCGATGATTTTATTTTTGTGTAATGTAACAAAACCTGACACAAATCATATACGTGTACTAAATAAGGAAGCAACAGTTATTTCTTGATGAAGCCTGTTCTGTACAGGAAGTATACTCGGAAAGTTCAAAGCAGAAGAAATAGGACGAGTGGCTACCAACTATTATCTACGTACAGTACCTATAATTATATACGGTAACCTATATAGCAAGTATAAAATTATAATAGGGCAGTTTAATGTTCCCATATAAATTTGAAACGGTTTACTGCGTTGTAACTGTCCAAAATCTAGCACTGAAACCTATTTCAAAGCTATCCTTAAATTGTATTTTTTTATAGAATTCCTTAAGTAAATAAAATGTATTATATTATTATATGTAATATATATCTATACTAAGATCATAAATGCGAAAGTTTGGATGGATGTTTGTTACTCCATCACGACAGAACGGCTGAACCGATCTGGAATAGCATATAGGTTACTTTTTATTTCGGAAAAATGTACGGTTCCTGTAGGATAAATTTGTTTTTGTTTCGGGATAAGCCTGAGCGAAGCGAGGGTGACTAGCTACTAATACTTACATATATTTTCCTAATAAAACCTTCTTCTCTCAAACTTAAATATTACCATGGACAATTCTGATCCGAGGAGTAATATAGGAACACCATATTCAAATCTTTCAATGATTTAATTCACATTCAATATTATTAATTCCAAAACAAAATCCTTTTAACAACTCAGGACAAACAGCGAATATCCTTTCAATGACTCACACCACTCTACCTCTGTACCATACGAACTAATCTGAAGAAGGGTTGAATCATCCCATAATAAGTATGTAGTCTAATTTATGTTTCCAAGAAATTTACCTTTACGAGTTACATAGTTGGCGAACGGCCAGTGACGGTTTCTTGTATATTAGTTTTTCTCTAAATGCTATATTCACATAATATTTTTCATGGCATTTGAAATATAGCTTGAAGTACTTTCGATTAATTATATAGAAATGGTTGACATAACTTTGCTGTTATGATATAATTTTTCTCCAATTTTTTAAGACTTAGATTATATATTATGCTATTATATTAAATATATAATTAAATATTATTAATAGTATTTACCAATTTTGAATCATACAAAATAATAGCTGTACAAATTATTTTATTAAATATTGTTTCATCTTTAAAACCATGTTTCGATTAATAATGCAATAAAGAAACTTAACAGGTGTCCAATAGAAAACATTTAACATTTCGTAAAGCATTCTAAACGTGAGAAATTTATGAACAGAAACTAATTCTTACTAATATTTTAAAATATTTGTTTTTTTATAACAGATTCTTTTTACTGCATTTGTGTAACTCATGTCGAGTTTAAACATTTAAGATAAATAGAGTATACTTTAATAATCCGTTTGAAAAAAGAATCTTTGTTTATTTGACACTAATAGTTTGAGTTTATTTGTATTTAATTAATTAATATATATGAAAAGCATATACAGTGCAATTAATATTCTATTATTTATAATAAATATTTATCGATAAAAAGGTGTGTAAAGTTAAGAAAGAGCTAAGTCATATCCACCTACAACCATAACAAAAAATCGTTTATTTCTTTGATTTTTGTTTTAACCTGCAAAACTTATAAATACTAAATAATCTAACTAAAAAGAAACTCCAGAACTTTAATTGTCTTTATTAGATACATTGCTCTGCGTTCTGTTATGTGATACATTTGATAATGATAAAGCACGCATTATAATCTATATGATAAAACAAAATGAAAGTTATCACAAAGTACACATTGATCACAACACTTACAGCTAATGCATTGCATATTTTTAAAGTATCAAAATAATTTATTTACTTTGACTTGAAATCAGTATACGATCAAGGGATGAAAATATGCAATAGCATTAACTATTACGTATACGAATTTGAATACAACATATAAAATCACTTCGATCGAAAGCAAGATATATACAATGATAGCGTGATTCTTCTTTCTTCACATCTTCCTATATAATTATAATGATCAGTAATAATACATTTTGTAGGTAGGTACGCTAAAGACATAGTCTAGTGAGGGACCCCTGGACTGGAAGAAATGATTCTCGTATCTATACACACGGCCTCTGTACCTGCATCAATAATTTTCTCTCATTACGTCATCATGAATAATGATTGAGTGGCATGATGACATTGATGATTGTAATGATCATTATTATATTATAATGATGACGTTTAATTAATGATATGAGAATAAAACGAGGTTAATTTTAACTACTTACTGTTACAAGCAAAACCGTGTAATGATACTTGTTTAGTGCGAAAGTTACGCAACAGTGCATCGAACTCGTCTAAATATACCTTCTATCGGTGTCCAGCACATCCGCGTTAATAAAATGCATTCCCTACATTTTCTATTTGCATCTGAGTTAGAAATATATGCGCGGACCACTTCAACTCGTTTAGTTTGATCGAGAATTTCGCATTGCGAGGCAATATATGCGCTTGTCATAACACAGTGTCAACATAAATCAAAAGGAAAGAAACATGTGGCTCTACACACGGCTTGTTTAAATAATTATAATCCATTACGAAACTGGTGGTATAAATAAGTTCGGTTTTTAATTAAGAATTTTAAGGGAAATGTCTTAGAGTATAGAATTTCATAATTTTGTAAATAATTCACTACATACATAAATTAATATACCCGGTTGTTTTCAAATATGTTTTATTTAAAAATAAATTTGATTGGTTGTAGATAATGAAAAAATAATAGTAATTAGCTACGAAGTTTAGACAAAATTTATTGAATATAGTAAATGCATGATTTTCGAAAATTTCAGTCTATATAAGTTTCTTTCAAAAGCTTGCTTAAAATAGCTTTTATTTATTCAAATGTAAGTTTAACGACGTTTTGGTAATTTTGTAAGTGTTATATTGCTGTGGATGTGTGTTAATATGAATAAAATACTGTACATAAAATGTGAGTTATTTTTGGTCAGATTAAAAAAAACATGTACTCGTAACTCTAGTTTCATAATGCATGTTCTCCGGTTAAATAAACATTTACAAAATGTACAAGAAATAGGGCACGATAGTACAAATTCTCCTTATGAATCTCTGAAGTTAATACCTGGAAAGTTAATTCTAAGAAAAAGATACAATGCAGTACGTATTTAAATTACTTACTTGGATCCGAGGCCAGATTTAGTGTCGAGAACCTCGACAATATCTCCCGCTTTGAGAGAGACCTCGTCGTCAGCCGCCGCTGTGTAATCAGCGTTGGCTACAACTACATCGTCTACCTAGAACAAGACAAAAAATATGATTGAATTACTTATTTTCATTAAAATGTGCATTTAATATACAGTAAATTAAACGAAAATCCCTAAATGTCTAACCATTACCTTAGGGGGGCTTCTGCTGCAAGTTGATCGTGATCTAGTTAAAGATCTTGCGTTTTGATATCTGTCATAACTTGGTGTATTTTTAAGAGTGCTTATTCTAGCTCTAGTGTTTTCTCTGTCTAATAGTACTCCATTGTATTTTCTATTCCATCCACCAAATTTAGTAATCCTTTGATTATTACTTATATTACAATATCCAGTAAAAGTTTGGAGATCTTCATCATTGTCGTCTAATACGGGGCAGCTGTACATACTAAAGCGATGTGCTGTAGGCTGACTCAAATTTAATGCTGAAAATACGTGTAATGGCTCGAAATGTCTTATACCATGTTCATCCAAGACTGTATACGCTACTTGACCCGTCAACACGGCACGACTTGCTTCTCTGGGAACCACTGCTTGTAGTCCTTTCTTCATTATTAGTAAAGCTCCAGATGAATGTTTCTTTCGTTGAAACAGGAAATCTTCCATTGCAAGAATATTTTCAGGTTGAAGTAAACTCAATGGAACATCTTCTGAGGTCATCAATGGAGGTTCTTCTGGAATGATCATAAGAGCTGCGCTTTCTCGTACTAAATCTCGCAGCTTGGGATCCGTACGAGCTAGCTCTGGATCGGTTTCTAGTTTGCGCAGTGCTAAATGTAAGCTTGGAGTTTCTTCGGACAATTTTCTCATAACTGTTAAACGTTTTAGAATATTTATGCTTACTTCATCACCTGCAATTTTATTTAGGCTGTATTCACTATTCAGTGCGGATATTAAATTTCTAGCGACATCATTCATTCCAAGTACTCTTGCAAGACCGGCTGATTGCACAAGGATTTCTTTGAGCATTTCTTTATTAGAGCCATCTAATACACTTTCTAATGTTTTGCTACTACTTTCTTGTATAGCGCTTACAATAACTTTTTGCAATGTTTCGGCAGCTTCATTATCTGTTTCAATAAAGGAAATAGATTCTGAAATATGACCTAAGACGTGTAGCAGTAAACTTGGATCATTCTTAGACATTTTTTTGAAAGCAGGACCTAAAACTTCACTTTCCTTACTTAAAAGTTCACTAAATTTATTGATAATTTGCTCTTCAGTAAAGGAATGTTTATCTAATGCTCTATTTATTGCAATTTTGATTAATTCTATTTTCGTTGTTGTAGAATTTTCAAGAATTTCCTCTCGAAGAATTTCTTTATCTTCTTCAGTTTGAAGAATTTTATACATAGCAGAAACAAGATCTTTATCAATTGATTTTCCTAAAATTGTATCAATAGATTTTAAAATGTGATGATATTTTTCTTTTCCATTATTATTGTTAACATCTTCAAATTGTTCTGCTGTAACTAGTGCTGCAAGTACTGCTGCGGCGATAGAATTTTTTACTTTTTCTTGATGTGCATGCTGTTTTTTATTTTCTATATAATCTGATTGGCTTTGTTCATCTTGTCTTCTTTTATTAAATCTTCCTTTTTTGCCGTCTGATATAAGACCATTTTCTTTATGGTTTGTATTCATTTCAGTTTTTAAATGTGCACTCATTTCTATTATGGATGTAATGACCTCCATTAACTGATTAGCGACATCATCTTTTAATCCGAAATCAGTCACAAAAGCTTTCAATGTTTCAGCATTTTTAGTGTGGTTTAATATAACATTAATTGCTGGCAAATCAGCTGGTACTTGTCGTCCAATTGACATCCCCGCTTCAGAGAGTTGTCGTAGCATTTTGGTGTCAATAGTCAACTCACCTTTAGTCGAAGTGGTGTCATTCGGGTTAGTTTTAACCTTTAAGAGTTTAAGTTCTTCTGGAGTTACAACAAAGCTTTGAACAGAGAATTCTAGACCTTCTTCACCTTCAATAAGATCAGGGGCAACGAACTTGAGACCTTCAGGTGTTTGAACAATTTGTCCAGGTACAAATGTTACTCCTTGGTCATCATTTTCAATAACTCTACCGGGAACAAATCTTGGCCCTTCTTCAGTATCGACTACTTGTCCAGGTACAAATCTGGAACCTTCGTCTTCCGTGGATATTACTTGACCCGGAATAAATGTTGGCCCAGCTTTTGTTTCTATAATTTGGCCAGGCACAAACCTAGGTCCATCTATGGTATGTATTGTTTGACCTGGGACAAATTTAGGTCCACTTTTTGTATTAACAACTTGTCCAGGAACAAATTTTGGTCCATCAGCAGTATCTACAACTTGTCCAGGTACGAACTGTTCTCCATTTTCAGTAAAAACTATTTGACCGGGAACAAATATGCCCTCCACCATCATTCCTGGAACGAATCGAGACTGATTAGCTTCATTTTTAACAAGACGTCCAGGCACAACTTTTCCATCTAATTTAGGTATTTTAGGACCCGGATAAAATTCAATGCCTTTTGCCGTTTGAACCATATGTCCAAAAACGTATAATGATTCTTCTGATAGAGAACTACTTTTAATATCAATAGGCAATCCCATTGGAGATCCTTCAGTAAAAGCAATGTCCTCAACAGACTTTGCTACAGAAAACTCAACGTGCCCGTTTGCTTGAACAATTGATTTACCCGGTAAGAATTTATCACCACTCGATGAATTCACAACCTGACCTTCAATAAATTTCGGCCCGTCAATTGTATCTACAGTAGTACCGGGAACAAATTCTAAGCCTTTCTCTCCAATTCTAGAAATACCCGGAACAAACATAGTCTTTCCATCTAAAGAAATTGTTTGACCTGGCACAAATTTAAGACCATTCGGTGTAGCTAGTGTAGCTCCAGGTACAAAATGTAATTCATCATCACTATTGACAACTTGTCCTGGCACAAACTGCCATTCATTATTTATTTTGGTATTTTGACCTGGAGTAAAAATAATATTGTCATTCTCTGTTAATGTTTGTCCAGGAATAAACTGTACACCGTCAGGAGTCATTATTGCTTGGCCTGGTACAAAAATATCTTCATTTCCATTATTTATTATTTTCCCAGGTACAAATTTTAAACCTTCCTCTGATACTACGGTTTGTCCCTCAGTGAATCGGTATGAATCATCTTTTTGTTTGATAATCTGTCCACAAACGAATTCCTCACCATTTGCTGTTTGTAGTGTTTGACCAGCCAAGAAAAAAGGTTCGTTTACATTTTCGTTATTTATAATATGTCCTGGTATGAGGCCTGGCCCAGCTGGAGTATTTACAGTGAGACCTGGAACAAACACGGGTCCTGAGGGTGTATCTACTGTCTGACCCGGCACAAAGATTGGACCTTGAGGCGTGTTTACATGTTGACCTGGAATAAATTTCTTGGCTTTGTCTATGTCTAAAGTGAGCCCAGATATCTTTGCAATTTTCCCTTGTTTTCCTTTTTTAATATTTTTGATAACCTCCGTTATGTTATCCATTGTTGGAAGCATATCAATTTTATCATATTGCAATAATTTTTCTGTAATATTTGAAGTTTCTATTAAGCGTTCTGTAGGAAGCTCTGCAACAGCGGAGAGAACTGATTCGGAAGGTTTAGATTTGATAGGCTTCAATGGGTTAACGCAAGGTACATTTTCAAGGGAAACCGATACGTCACTAATATTTCTATCCACTTCATAAATTTCTGTGTCACAATGGTAGGGCGTTATTTTAATTGGAGAAGGCAGCATAGTCACTTTTGGTGAGAAATTTTCATTGCCTATTTCTTTTTCGAATAAATCCCAATCCCAAGTTTCAATAAGTGGATGCATTTGTTCCCTCCATTCTCCATTACACATAACTATGCTCGACTTAGAACGCATATGATTAAGATCAAAGTTATTACACGAAAAACTCTTAGTGTCATGTTTTTCGTGCCTAGTTTCTTCTAGTTTTGCTTTTTTCGCTAAACGATCCTGGCGCATTTTTTCTTCTTCAAGTTCTTGCACTTCTGCTAATTTTTCCTTATTTTCAAAAATCTTTTTCATTGATGAAAGACCTGCGGCTCGTTTCCTTTTCTTCTTCTTTTCTTCTAATTCTTCAATTTCTCTTTGCTTCAAAACTTCTGCATTTGGTCCCTCACCTTCATACATTTCTACGTCCTCCGTAAAATCTTTGAAATCCATTGATACACTTCTACCTTGCTTTGTTTTAATTAAAACTGTATCCGAGTCTTTAGCAAGCATAACATCCCTCACATCACCATCACGCACTGCTGCTTCCATACGAGCGGAAAAAACCAAGCTGCATCTACGCTCTTGCACTGTGTACACATATCGTTTATCGTCAGATACTTGTTTAGTCAATAGCATTTCCATTAGTCCTCTTTGCGCCTCAGTTGATCCATCCAATACCGGAAATATATATCTAAAATCTGGAAGAATCTCATGTTTTCTGTTTCCATAGTGAATTTCCGGTGTGTAGTGATGAGGACCTAGTTCACCTGATACATTTGTTATTCTGCATTTGTTTGCCGCGGATCTGGCTGTGAGTAGAACTGGAATGTAATGATGTGATGGTAAACCATATGATTTCCCGGTAATTCTGCAGCATCTCTTCGCATCTGCCGGTGATATCGGAGCTAGAAGCGGAAAATAGTTCGGCTTAGGTAGGCCTCTGCTACGGCCTGTTATTCTACAGAAAGACATCTCCGATATTGCGAGATCACGTCGTCATATTATTTGTTTACAAACGCAAGTTAAGCCGGCTTAATAATACGGGCGTTTAAATATAATATCGATCTATTCGCGGCGGAGGTGCGCGTGTGTCGGTTGCGGAGCTTACGAAGCGACTGCGGCGTCGGCGTCTGAGCGCAGGGATTTACAGTGCGCGTCGGTTTGCACCTTCAGAGCGTCAGACGGTGTGCCGTATATTGTTCCGGTGGCGAGTTATTTATAAACATAAAGGGAGACGAATTTATTTACGCAAAATGTATGACACGATTCCACAATAAAAACATCCCAAACGTAAATTCAGTAATTTATATCTTCCGTCAAGATCAAGTGTGAGTAAATAGAAAGTTTTAATGTTATGAAACTAAGTGTTGGAGTTTCTTTAGAAATATAAACATATTATGAGTGTTAATGTTACCCAAAAATCCTGAAATGTTCAACTTTTTAATTTATCACACGTTTTTTATATACAACGTTTGATATATAGTATGTAACTACAATGTATGTACATATGTACATGTAATACAGTCGAATATTTGCTTTATTTATTTATTTTGTAAATTGGAAAACAGACAGCATATAATATAAGCATAAAATGCAAAATACATCAGAATTAATACACTTAGCCAATAAAGTTTCCACTTATACATAAATATAGCAAACTTACTATCAATAAAATAATATAATTAAAAAGTGTAGCTACAAAATAAAAAGAAAAATATAAAAATAATATTTATCAGACTTTAGTGTTATTTGTGTTTATTTTTTGTTTTTGTGATTAACAATTTTCTTAATTATAGAATTAAATAAGATTTTTTTTAAGTTTTAAATAATTATATATCTACATTCTAAACAACATTGTACATCTTATATCCGCTACGATCCTGTGATATTATTCATCCCTTTTGTTATGATTGATGTCGATATGACAATATGTTTTTAAAATATTAATTTGTTTTGAACCTTACTATAGAACAAAGCTTATTGTTATACTTTTACATGTTTACTTTTGAGTGTTTGTTAACAGTTTATTGAAATAAATCTTTCAACGGGGCTTAAGTTTGAGCTTAATTTATAAGTAGATAGATTAGTTAGCATACAAAGAGTTTATAATCAAATACTAATGTTGCTGCGTCACTTTATTTACATGGCCCTCCTTCGCGAATGGAAAATATACAACTCCACTTATTAATTCCTTACTCAACCAGTACCAAACAACAGTAAATCTAATAATATTAGTATATGCCTTTTATATTTTTAAAGCAGGTCATCTTCAATCCAATACCAAATAAATAATTATTAAGTGAATTATATTATCTTTAATATACACCTAGATACCCAAGATAATATTTCAAGCTGAAAAGTTATTCCTACCGAATTAAATTTAGCCTATATCTTTTTTTTTGAATGGTGAAATATAATTATTAAAACCAATTCATAGTTTCAGTGGTTATCGAAACAAACAAACAAGCTTTTGTTTGTATAATCAATACATAGTATAAAAAAAGTCGCTTTCCGCTGTTTGTCGGTCGATATGTATGCGAGATCTTTAAAATTACGCAACGGATTTTGATGCGGTTTTTTAATAGAAAGAGTGATTCAAGGGGAAGGTTTCTATGTTAAATACATGCATATTATAGTACAGTAAAGCCGAAATTCAAAGATTTGTATTTCATACTAACCGTTACAATGTACCTAGGGACGAACCCGAGCGAAGCGAGGGTGAATCGCTAGTATTAGTATAGAAAAAGATAGCAGTATTTAAAAAAGCCATGAAAAAATTTCTTTCAAATATCATAATTAATTAGTTTAAACATTTTAAAAGTGTAGTTTTTGTGACAAATGATAGTGAATAGCCTCGGAGTGACCGCGTATTTACGACTCTCAACCCGGACCTTCAAATTTAAGCGAGCGTGAGGGAGATCTATTTCTGAATCCACTGATGTTTTCCGATTTACCTGTGTCGAGAAAGTTCGCATATTCTTGGGAATTTACCAATATGCCATGAAATATGTTTATTGACTATAAAACATTATCATGTAAACTTTGTATTCAAATCCAAATATCCCCGGTAAATCAGTCAGAATAAATTGTATCAATAAATTTATATGACCTATATGTAGAGAAAATTAAAGGGCTTGAGATTTCGGAATAATTGCGTAATAAATTAATACAGAAATTCCGAATCTAACATAGTTTTTTGAAGTACATTTTAAGGTAAACTCCGAATATGAACAAAAATTGCAGTATGGTGTGTAAAGGAAGGTAGAAGAATTTTATTTTTACCGCTAAGGTTACAGTAATTAGCTTTTTAGTTAATCTATACATATGTATAATAAAATTATAACTAAGCCGATTCTGTACAATAAATATTTTTTGGAAAATCTCATTGAAATAGACATTAGTAACGATAAAGAGGCCGAATTTATAGTTTTTAGAATTTTTGTCTGTCTGTCTGTCTGTCTGTTACCGCGTCACGGAAGAACAACTCGAGGGATTTTAATGAAATTCGGTATGATGATTGCTGGTTATCCGGGTCAACATATAGGATACTTTTTACTGCGGGAAAATTTTATTATACCTATGTATAGATAATAAAATTCTAATTGAGTCGAATCTGTACATGAAATATTTTTTGGAATATCTTATTGAAATAGTCATTATTATCGATACAGAGGCCAAATTTATACTTTTTAGAATTTTTGTTTGTCTGTATATCTGACCGCATTACGAGAAAACTACTAAACAGATTTTAATGCAATTTGGTATGATGATAGCTGGTTATCCGGCTCAACATATAGGATACTTTTTACAAATATCTCAACTCTGAGAAATCTATGCTAAACGTTAAAACGTAACGTGAGTCGCTAGTATGGAAATAAAAATATTAAAATTAAATAGTCAACACATATGTGATCTTCACATCATCATTGACCTCGAGGTGTGCGAAATCGAAAATGCTTTCCAAAAAACTGTCACGGCTCACCTCCATGACTGTGTCATCGTGTGTGAATAATTTTTTTATATAGATCACATTTATCACCTATGTAGATGAATCACTGCAAACACAACGAAGAGAATTCAAAAACTTGGCGATAGATAAGATTTATTCATATTCATAATAAAGGTGGCATAATTGTACATCTACATAATATTATGTATCTACTTATAAATAAACAATGATTTGTCTTTGTTCAGTACTTTTTCTCCTCTGTATGTTAACCAATTTTTTTTGTTTTTTTTTTGTATAGTAGCTATTGACGAGCTTTAGAGGTATATCAATAAGATTGAAGTTTTCTAAATTCAATTATGTTTTCTTCAAATTTTAAACAACAATTATCGTCTAATTTGAAATATTAGTTAAGACAAAACGCTCATCAGTTTGTATATCTCTAGCGCAATATAGATTTGTAATTAGTAAAAAGTCCTTAGGATCATAGAATTGGGCAAATACTTGTCGTATTTTAAATAAAACTATCATTTCGAATTTTCCGCGATTTTTTTTTGTTTTTTAATTCAAACGGTCACGGGATAGAACAAATATTCGCGTAAATTTAAGAAAGATACATTCTTATTATTATTATATATTACTAGCAGAATCGGCGGCTTCGCTCGCGCTAAAACTACAAAAAAATCTCTAAAAAGGTTTTTTTGGATTGAATTATAACGTATATTCCCGTTGGAATTAGATAATATCCCGTGGTAAAAATGTCCTATGTCACTCTCCAGCCCTCCAACTATCTTTACACAAAAACACGCCAATCCGTCACTCCGTTTCGTCGTGAAAGAAGGACAAACAAACAAACACACTTTCACATTTATAATATTAGTATGGATTTATTATAATCGTATGTTGAAATGCTCTCTGTTCAGTTTCAAGTGTCCTGCATCTTTAAAACTAGTCCCTTGAATATTACCTATAATTCGTTTTGTGAGTATGAATGTTTCTTACTCTTTCATGCCAGAAAGGCTGAACGGATCTCGATGAAATTTGTCACAGAGATAGATTATAGTCTGAAATAAACCTGCCGTCGGGTCATCGTGGTTGAATGCCTAAGCGATCCTGCGACGCCCCATTAAGACGGGGGAGGTTCCGTTGGATTTTAGTGGGTAGTACTGGCTTTTCCGGCGAGTCCCACACTTCGTGCATTTCTCAACGTTAAAAAATCATAAAGAAGCAAAGAATCCAAATAAAACTTATTTATTCGAATATTTTCGAGCTTTGTTATAATTCAGGGGATATACAGAAAATATACAGTATAAAGCAATTTTTGAATGCGTCAGAGCAATAAATCAAAATAAAAATGCAAAATATTCGAAAAAAATATTAACGTTAAAACGTCTAATATTAATGTTAGTACCTCAATTTAACACTTTTAATTTTATTTGGATATATAAATTTTACTTTTAATTTTACGGGAGAACGTAAAATCTCTTTACTCAGAATCATGTTCAAACTCAATTAATGTTATTACGACAGTGGAAAGTTTACCGAACAGCTAGAACTTTTCCATTAGGGATGTATTTAAATTAAAAAAAAAAATTAAGCTACTTGCGATTTGTAACTATGCGTATAAAAATGAATGATTAAAATTATATCTTTTATAAAATAATTTAAAACTTTAAGGTTATATTATACTAAGCCATAATTACAAAGATCTTTAAAATAAAACTATCTTTCCGAATTTTATCGCGGGAGTGCCTTCGTGCTGTAAAGCATTTGAAACGTCGCGTCAGGAACCAAAAATCAAAATAAGACCACTAAAAAATCCGAAAAAATAGTTTTATTTAAAATGTCAAATATTCGCGTAATTCTTAGAAAGTATTACATATCTTACTACCTTATTCTGTTTGTATATAAAATCAGAATAATATTCTATCACTGAATGATGAATTTGGACATAAATAAGATACCTATCTCATTTGTTTCTTACAAAATAATTGATGGGCATAAGGTCTAACGATTAATTTGAATT